GCGGCCTGGTTGTCACAAAACAATGACATTGGTTCTTTGCTGGTGAAGCCAAGATCAAATAGAAGATTCTTCAACCATATGAGTTCACAAGTTGCTGCTGTCATGGCCCTATATTCAGCTTCAACACTGGATCTTGCAACCACGGTTTGTTTCTTACTCTTCCAGGTGACCAGATTACCTCCAACAAAAGTAAAGAAACCTGTGGTGGACTTTCGATCAAGGGCATTACCAGCCCAATCAGCATCAGTGTAGGCCATGATGTGATTGGACCCATTTTCTTCATGAGTATGCCTCTACCAACCGAACCTTTGAGATATCTAAGTATTCTCTTGACAATCTCCCAATGAACTGATGTAAGAGAATGCATAAACTGGCTGACAAGGCTCACTGAATAAGCAATGTCAGGTCGAGTAATCGTGAGGTAAATAATTTTTCCAACCATGCGTTGATAAACACCAGGATTGGAGAGAGGATCACCTTTGTCATCCAACTGAAGTTTGCTAACAAGAGGAGTGCGAACAGGTTTACACTCAAGCATGTGTGCTTCATCAAGAATATCAACTACATACTTTCTTTGATTTAAGAATAACCCATTGGAAGAAGTGGCCATCTCAATGCTAATAAAGTATTTCAAGACTCCCAAGTCTTTAATGGAAAATTGTTGATGTAGGAAGCATTTAAGAGCATTGATTTCATTCACATTGTCCCCTGTAATTATAAGATCATCCACATATATAAGCACAACGAACTTGCCTAGGACACCACTGCGAACAAATAAAGAGAAGTCAACATGACTTCTTTTGAACCCTGCAACTTCAAGAATTGAGCTCAGTTTGGAATACCAAGCTCGAGGGGATTGTTTAAGTCCATATATAGCCTTATGGAGCTAGCAAACTTTGTTAGGTTCACCTTCTCGTGGGTGTCCATGAGGTAGCTTCATGTGCACCTCTTCTTCAAGATCACCATGGAGGAAAGCATTTTTTACATCCATTTGAAACAAGGGCCACTCGTGATTGACTGCCACTGATAGCAACACCCTCACTGTGTTCATTTTGGCAACCGGGGCAAAAGTTTCCTTGTAATCAATACCGTAGGTTTATGTGAAACCACGGGCTACCAATCGAGCCTTGTGTCTCTCAATGGTACCATTGGAATTGAATTTTGTCTTGTATATCCATCTACTCCCTACAACCTTTTTACCTTTGGGAAGATCAACCACACTTCAAGTTTCATTTTCATCCAATGCTTTGAGCTATTCATGCATGGCTTTTTGCCACACAGGTGTACATACGGCTTCTTGAAAGCTTCTTGGCTCAAGATTGTTTAACAATTGGTTGAGAAATAATGCATGGGAGGCCGACAATTTTTGGTAAGTAATAGCTTCAAAGATAGGGTACCTTGCAGAGTACATAACGTACTCTTATAACCTTAACGGGGGATGTCGATCTCGAACAGGGTTCCTTCTTGGTGCTACTACTGATTGTGAAACTGTAGCTTGTGGTTGTGGTGCTGGAGCACTGGGTACTTCCTCACTGACCACCTCGTCAATGTTGGAATTAATGATAGGGTTTGGGGGGTTTGCATGAATTTCTCCAGGAGTAGGCAGTGGACAGGTGTCTATTAGACTCTCCCCCTGAGGATTATTCTCAAAATCCTTGTGAAAGAAAGGAGTGAGTTCATCAAACTGAATATCCCTAGAGACAACAAGCTTCTCAGTGTGTGAGTTATAACATTTGTATCCTTTTTTAGAACTAGAGTACCTCATAAATGCACATTTCATAGCTATATGTTCTAGTTTATCACGATGAGTAGCTTGGATGTGGACATAACAAGTACATCCAAAGATCCTGAGATGAGTCAAATCGACGGTTCTTCCTTTCATGACTTCAAAAGGTGACTTGGCATTCAACATACGAGTTGGAAGTCTGTTAATGATGTAGGTTGCAGTGAGAAGTGCTTGGGACCATAATCTCTTGGGAACTTGCATCTGAAACATAAAGGACCTTGTTTTCTCCAACAAATCCCTATTATTTCGCTCGGCTACACCGTTTTGTTGTGGTGTACCAACGCAACTAGTTTGATGTAAGGTGCCATGATTGCTTAAGTAATTAGACATGTTATTGGGTGTATACTCGGTGCCATTATCTGACCTTAAGGTATATAATTTAGAGGCGAATTGATTAGTTATTAGTTTGTGAAAGCCTTTGAAAGCTTCAAAAAATCACCTTTAAACTTTAAAAGATACACCCAGGTAACCCTAGAATAATCATCAATAAAAGTGACATAATACTTGTATCCATCGAATGACTCAACACGAAAAGGTCCCCAAATATCTGAGTGGACAACTTCAAAAAGCTTACTGGTTCTAGACTTAGAGGATACAAAAGGCAGCCTAGTGGATTTTGACATTTGACAGGTCTCGCACTCATGTGTGCTTTTACAAAAATTTGGAAATAACTTAGACATCACTGGTTCTGAGGGATGAGCGAGACGTTGGTACCAAAGTTGGTACTCCTGGGCATGACTTAGGTTGGCAATGGGATCCTTAACAAGATTGAAATTCTTTGAGAGGTAGCATAGACCATTTAAGAAAAACCCTTCACCAATCTTCTTCTGAGTGACTCGATCCTGAAACACAACGTTATGAGTAGAAAATATGGCAAGGCAGTCCAAAGTGTGCGTGATTTTTCCTATGGACAAAAGCTGGAATGGAAATGAAGGTACGTAAAGTGCAATGGACTCTACATCAGTACCCATCAATCTAATTATTCCTTTTCCTAGAACAGGTTCCCCTTTACCATTTGCTACAGATACATGAGTATGATCAGTTAATTTTTGAAACTCATGTAGACAAGATGTTATATTAGTTATATGATCAGTGTTACTTAAGTCTACAATCCAAAAATCATGTGTGAGATGTGCATCGAGAGCAGTGGAGAGTGCACTGACAATACCTGGGATATTGCCGTGTGTGTGGTATCTGAACCTGCCAAGAAGCCAGCGAATTTTCCAAGCATGGTAGTGAAGTTTTTAGTGATCATCTTTTCATTCTCAGTGGTCCCATTCTTTCTTTGGAAAAAGGCAGCAAATTCATTAATCAAGGAAATCGGATTTGAAGTGAAGTTTGTCATCTCATCAGCTGACCAACTAGTTGCACGAAAGGCTTTTAAAGCAAACCCTTTCCCATCTTTGATCATTTTCCCTTCCTTGTCAAACTTAGGTTTTAACTCAGGATGTAAGATCCAACATTTTTCCCGTAGGTGCCCCTTAATGTTGCAATATGTGCACTTCCAGTCAGCCTTATTCCCATTAAAAACTCTTTCACCAGAAATTTTGTAGTTGCTAGTGAAAACCTTAGCCTCAGAGCTAAACTTGGGCTCAGTATGCATTACCTTTTTTCGAGTTTCTTCCCTTTGAACCGCATGACACATGCTGATGAATGATGGTAATTCTGGGGTCATTAGCAAATAACTACGAAGATCTTCATACTCAGCTCCCAAGCTTACTAACAGTTGAAACACTTTATCTTCATCAGCCCTCTTCAAGAGCACAGCGGAATCAGTTGTGTGTGGATGGTATATATCAAGCTTATTCCACATAGATTTCATGCTTCCAATGTGCTGAACGAATGATTGGTCACCTTGTTTTAGGCCAGCAAGACTGTTCTTCAGTTCAAATACACGGGCAACATTGTTTTGGCTGCCATACATTTCCTTAACAGATTCCCATAGTAGGTGTGAAGATCCTGAATAGCTGAAGAGCTCCGACAACTTGGGCTCCATCAAGTTGAGAATCCAAGACATTACGAATTGATCATTTGAGTGCCATGCATCAAAAAAGTGTGAGGTGGATTCTGGAGGCTTAATGGTTCCATTTACGTACCCTAACTTCGATCTTCCTCCTAGGGCAAGAGGGACGGCTCGTGACCAAGGCAAATAATTGAACTCATTCAACAATACTGAGCACAGTCGTTGGTTTAGATTGATCTCACCGTGTATCATGTTGGTTGGTGTTGAGGTTGAGGAACTTGTATTCTCATAATCGAATGGATTGTCTTTTACCATCTCAACATATGATGAACAGAAGGAAAAATGAACTAAAGAAAAAAACAACAAAGACAGGACCCTATGGTTCATGCTCTGATACCATATTGAACTTTTTAGTTTCAACTATTTGTATAATTCATCGTGGGAAAACAAGTACAAGGGATAAGCTCTTATATAGAGCTTGAGAATGGCTTAAAGGCCTATAGACAAAGCCTGATATTAGGTCATATAAAGAACCAAAAAATAATCCAGCTAACCCTACTTACAAGTTTCAATAAAACATAAGACCATGAATTAAGGAGCAAATTAATGGACAAAGGAAAAGTGACAGCTGCAACTCACACATGTGATTGTGTGTTGAAGAAGCAATAAATCACGTCTACATCACTTCCAATGTCTAAAAGTGACAGCTGCAACTCACGTCTACATCACTTCCAATGTCTAGTACATCACTTCCAATACTACTATTCAAACTTGAAAGCATATACAGCTGAGTCTTCTTTGTTTTCTTTCTTAGTTTTTTTTTTTGTACTCGAGATATAAATATTGATAGTCGCTGAAAATTGGAAAGTGGTGGGTGATGCTTAATGTATGGCATGGCTGCAACGAGCTACTGAACCCAAAACAGGCCAGTAGTTGCTACATACCAAGTTCTTGATGGATATCAGGGCCACGATCTGGCGATGCATGCTGCAACACGCCATTAATTTTGACGATGACATATCCTTATTTTTAAACGAGGATAACTGGAGTGTGGAAGACAGCGAGGCCATAATTGATCGAACTTCAGTAGTCTAACTATCAACATGACATGCGCACTGAAATATACCGAACCCTTTCTGATCAATTTCAAGTCCCCTCCCATGCTCATGAAGACATGGTTGATACAATTATATACCAAGCCGTTGAGGCCGAGAGGGAATATCGTTCTGATGGGCAAAAGGTTTTCCGTATATGGTCGTGCGCATTGATATTTATGTTGCTGACTGGAACTTCATGAATAGATTCAGGAGCACGGATTTTGCGGAGGCTTTTGATGATGATGGCAACGAATCTACTTTTGTTCTTGCAAGTGAGGCCTCTATTGAGATGTTGGAGAAAGTGAACGTCGAATTCTCCACAACGTGTTCAGTTTGTATGAAGGAGATTAGGGTTGATTATGAAGCAACTCGAATGCCGTGTTTACATATTTTCGATGAGAATTGCATTGTGGAGTGGCTGCACAAAAGTAGGTTTTGTCCCGTGTGTCATTTTTCCATGCCTGCAGATGGTGATTATACACAGCGAAGGTTGCCATGTGTCTACATGATGTGAAATCTCATTGTTTTGCTTTCTGGATTGTCAAATGAATCGACTTTGATGTATCAATTCTCATTAATATGAACAACTTTCCTTTTTTCTTTTTGTTGGACTAAGTAGATTAATTGTAAGGCAACAGATTATGTTGCAGAAATGTAATACTGCAGAAATGATGATGAAGGTTTTTAGAGAGATAAGGAAAAGAAATGTAAATAAAGAGAAATGATTTGTTGTAATATTTTCTATATCTTGAATTACAGTCATTACATTTGTTATATATTCTCTTATCTGGCTTGTTCACTAAGACACCTTATAACTACCTTAACCTCCTTATAACAAACCTATTAATCCATTGACACATGGCACACTATCTGACCATTCATTATATACTGTTAACATTCTCCCTCAAGCTCAGGAGGAGGATCACGAAGCCTGAGATTGTAACAATGAGCACGAAACAATGGTGTAGACAACCCTTTTGTCAGGTTATCAGCAAACTGCTCAGTAGAGGATACAAACTGCATGTGAAGTAATTGTTTAGCAACCCTTTCTCGAACAAAATGCACGTCAATCTCGATATGTTTGGTTCTTTGATGCATCACTAGATTGTAGGTAAGAGCAGTCGCTGACAAATTATCATAAAACATTGTCGATAGAGTTGATATGTCAATCTGCAGAAATGCAAGAATATGTTTGATCCAATCGATCTCAGTAGCTGTTGTAGCAATTGCTTTATACTCAGTTTCCGTTGATGAGCGAGATACTGTATTTTGCTTCTTGGATGACCACGAGATTGGATTGGTGCCTAAGAAAACAACAAATCCAGTTGTGGATCTTCTGTCATTGGGATCCCTTGCCCAATCAGCATCACTAAATGTATTCAACTCCAACCCTTATTTCACATATTGAATACCATAATGTTGAGTCCCTTTAAGATATCGTAATATCCTTTTTACAGCCAAGTAATGTGACTCCATAGGACAATGCATGAACTAACAAACCTGATGCATAGAAAATGCAATGTCAGGTCTTGTGAAAGTGAGATATTGTAATGCTCCCACTATGCTTCTGTACAATGTAAGATTATCAAATGGTGTTCCATCATCCTTAAGAATCCGATTATGAGGCAAGCAAGGAGTAGCACAGGGCTTTGAATGATGCATTTCTAGCTTTGTCAACAGATCATTAACATACTTATGCTGAGATAGAAATAACATTTTTGCAGTTTGTGTAATTTGAATGCCAAGAAAATAGTGGAGTGAGCCCATATCCTTGATGTCAAATTCTGTTGCCAATGCACAAATGACTTCTTGAATGATAGTTGTTCCACTCCCTGTGATGATTATATCATCCACATAAAGGAGGAGGATGACAACCCCAGAATCAGTGTGTTTGACAAATAATGAAGTATCTGCATAAGTTGTCTGAAACCTCAAAGAATGCAGAAAATTAGTAAACCTCTCATTCCATGCCCTTGGGGCTTGTTTAAGACCATATAAAGACTTGTGAAGTTTGCATACTGATGATGAATAGACATAATCCACAAAACCAGGAGGTTGTGCTATGTATACCTCTTCTTGCAAGATTCTATGCAAAAATACATTTTTGACATCAAGTTGTCTTAAACCCCAACCAAATTGTGCAGCTAATGCAAGAACAAATGTCATTGTAGTAGGCTTAACCACAGGGCTGAATGTTTCACCATAATCTATACCTACCTCTTGATTGAACCCTTTGGCCACAAGCCTAGCCTTGTATCTTGAAATGGTTCCATCTGCATGCCTCTTGATCTTAAAGACCCACTTGCACCCCACAAGATTTCTATTTGATGGTAAGGGAACCAAGGACCAAGTTTACTGAGAATGTAAGGCTTGTATTTCCTCCTCCATAGCTTTAAACCATACTAGAGATTTCAGAGCTGATTTGTAAGAAACTGGTTCAATCTAAGATAAATCCACTTTTGCATTCTCAGAGGCCATGGCAATGAATGCTTTCTTCTTGACAATTCCACTATTTGATTGTGTTTGCATAAGGTGTAAGTTCAATGGAGGGATAGGAAGAATTACTTGTAAAGTTTCTGGTTGAAATTCAGGAACCACAAGAACGGCAGAGGAAGTACACTGAGGTGAAATGCCAATAATGGGTTGTCTTGTGTCTTCTATTAATGTTGGATGAGATATATCCAGTGCATTTGGAGAATTATGAAATCTGGCATTGGCAAAGCTAGGTTTAACACTAGGACTAGACACAAAAGGATTTGATGGTGCTCCAACAATTGTATTTTTACTAGTAATAGATACTGAACTCACTGGAATTTTAGAATTAGACTTTTGTGAATGGATGTATGACTTTTGGACAAGGGAAGAATATGGGAAATCACACTCATCAAATATAACATGTCTCGAGATGTAAAATCACTTTGAGCTAACTTCAAAACAAATATATCCCTTGTACTTAGATGCATATCCCAGAAAAATGCATATTTTGGTTTTAGGTAGTAGTTTGTTACTAGTATAGGGCTTTAATAACGGGAAACATGCACAACCAAAAATCCACATGTGTTGAACATCTGGAACAGATTGAAAAAGAACCTCAAATAGTGACTGGTTATTTATAGTTGATGAAGGCATCATGTTGATAAGGTATATTGCAGTTTGACAAGTAAAGGACCAAAAAAATGCTGGTAGGGATGCATTTTGTAGCAATGTGATTGAGGTTTCAACAATATGCCTATGTTTTCTTTTTGCCAGTCCATTTTGCTTTGGAGTATGAGGACATGATATTTGATAAGTGATTCATTTATCTATTAAGAAGGATTGAAAAACATTACTTGTATACTCCATACCCCCATCACTCTGTAAGGTTTTAATAAAGACTGCAAAGTGATTGAAAATGAACTGATATAACCCAATAAACACATAACAGACTTCACTTTTATTGTGCAAAGGAAATAACCAACAATATCTAATGCATTCATCAATGAATGTCACATAGTATTTATAACCATCAATAAAGGTACAGAGAGCATGACCTTATACATCACTATGCACTATTTCAAAAGGAATTACAGATTTAGACACAGATGGTGAAAATGGTAACTTGCTGAATTTTCCTTGTAAATAGGAATGACACACATATGGTAATACATTAGAAGGTTTTGAAATATTAGATTTTCTAAGTATAGTGGAGACAATGGAATTAAAGGGGTGACCTAGTCTGCTATGCCAGAAACTTGAATACACTTGCTATCCAAGAAATTGAGCTTTAAATCCTTGATGTTTGATCGCAGTTGGTCTTGATATTGGTATTGGATATAGCCCATTACTGCACTGCCCCTTGTACAGAATCCTCCCTGTAGCTTTGTCCTGAATTTAGAAATTAAAAACATAAAAAATTAGCCAACAATTGTTATCGAGACAAATTTTGTGCACAGATATCAAATTCTGAGTAATTCTTGAAACATATAACACTGAATTTAGCTTCAATTTTTTAGTAGGTGTAGGAATGACAGATGAACCAATATGTGAAATTGATAAACCTGTACCATTGGCAGTTTGAATGGTCTCTGTGGATGGGAAATGATAGCCAAAGAAAGGTTATGCAAGTCTGCAGTGAGATGATTTGTGGCTCCTGAATCTGTAAGCCAAAACTGCTGAGAATAGGCATTTAATGTTGGAGTGGATGGTGAGGAGTTTACATGCATTGCAGTTATTTGAGGGGTGGTGCCAGAAATATTTGCATTTCGATAATAGCAAAATTGAGCAGTGTGATTTTTCTTGCCATAAATTTGACATCCTTCAACTACAACAGCATCAATATTTCTGAATCGACATGTATTAGCAAGATGACCAAATTTTCCACATATTTGACAGGCGGAATGTGATGGAGATGCACCAAGAATACCGGAAGCAGAAGTATTGTAGACATTTCTAGAATTCCCAAATCGAGAATTAGTATTATAGTTGAATTTACCTCTGCCCTTGTTCTTGTTATAATTGTTCTTGAAGTGGATAGGTTGAGTGCTTGAATACCCTTGACTTGAATTTGCATAACGCCTTTGGTTATGACCACCAGAATACCCGTGGGATGAAAAAGACAAGTTCTTGGAACCATATTCAAATTTCTTGGCCACCATTGCAGAAAGAACTGTTGTAACAGCAGTATTCTCAACCATTGCTTCTTCAGCAAGCAACTGAGATCTCAAGTATTTGAGAGAGATTAAACTTTCTCGGCCTCGAATGATGGATCTGATGGTATTATATTCTCCCGATAATCCATTAAGAGTTAAGATGACAATGTCATCATCTTCGAAATGCACTCCTACAGCTGCCAAATAATCACGAGCTTCCTTGATTCTCTGCAAGTACTGGATATGGAATCAGGGCCTTTCTTGATATTTTGTAACTCAGACTTCATTTGGAATATGGTTGCACGAGTAACAATGGAGAATTGTTCTTTGAGCCGAATCCACAGTTCTCGAGCATTTGTGCTTCCAATGACACACGATACTGTCGATGGGGCAAGTGTGATAGTGACAAGTTGCATCAAGGCTAGATCATGCATTTTCCAGACCTTGTATGCTTCTGTTTCAGTTCTTGATGATTACTCCCCAGAATCAACATCAGAATCCCCAGATCCAGAAGAAACGAACCTTGCAGGACAAGGATGAGAACCATCCAAGAACCCCATAATTCCATGACCTTCAAGTAGCAATTGCATCTGAAAATGCCAGGTGAGATAGTTAGAATCATCAAGTTTGATAGTGACTGACATAGGAACAGTAGAAATAAGAGAGGTGATTGGTGATTGCACAATTTGTAGTTGGTTGGCAGTCACCATTGCAGCTTGTTGAGGAAAAAAAAATTCACATAGGAAATATATCAAACACTTAGGCAGACACGATTGTAAAGACGAATAATCGCGAGACAGAGAAACTATTACAATTCCGAAACCAAGAAATCCAAGATCGAGATAACCTTTCAAGCAAGAAGAGCTCGATCGGCGAATGATACCATGTAAAGCAACAGATTATGTTGCAAAAATGTAATAATGCAGAAATGATGATGAAGGTTTTTAGAGAGATAAGGAAAAGAAATGTAAAGAGAGAGAAATGATTTGTTGTAATATTTTCTATATCTTGAATTACAGTCATTACATTTGTTATATATTCTCTTATCTGGCTTGTTCACTAAGACACCTTATAACTACCTTAACGTCCTTATAACAAACCTATTAATCCATTGACACATGGCACACTATCTGACCATTCATTATATACAGTTAACAGATTAATTGTCAAATGAAGATCGACTCTGATGTATCAACAATTAATCGACTATGATGAATCAATTCTTATTAATATGAACAACTTTCCAATTTTTTTTTTGCTGGATTTAGTAGATTAATATGAATATTTTTTTTTAATAACAAATCATACCGTTAGTGGATTAAATTGTTAAATATTAGGAAAGAAGGAGATCGTTGGGGATCAAACTCGCACCAAAGTGAATAGACATTATTGATTTCTATCGTTGCGGTAAAACGTTATCTACATTAACACATTAATATGATAACTTTAAAGTCCTCGATTTGTTTAGTACAACAATATTCTTTTTTGTTTTCTCGTCTATGGAATATATCTTGTTTCTTTGTTACAAAATGAACCTGGATATGGTTTTTTTTTTTAATTGAGAAACCTGGTAGTAGAAATATATTTTTCTGATTAAAAATATTTTGAGTTGCAATTATCAATTAATGGGATCATTGTTAAACTTTTTAATGAGTGTATTTGTGGTAATTGATATATAGTCTGTTAATTTTAGAAAAGAGCATATTATCTTTTCTTTTCTTTCTGTATCTTCTTTTCATGAGTGCAAGTCTCGGCTTGGTGAATGCACCGGCCCCTTCCAAATTCAACCTCCACTTGATCCCCTGCTAATTAGGTTTCCTTCTATGTTAGTCTACAGACTTCAACATTAGATATTAGCACTTGAAATACGAAATCGGGTGTATGGGGATTTTATATTGTTATTTAACTTAAAAAAAAAAAGATTATCAAATTCTGTTTTGAGAAAGAAAAGTCCAACTTCTACAGAGAATTAAGGATAATGCTTCTCTCATTCCCAATAATGAGCATTGTCAAGTTCTTCGTTCATATAAATGACTAAAGAGTCTCTAAATTAAATAAATTTTTAAGATGATTTTCATGTGATAGTAAAAAGAATGGACAGTTCTAATTACAATGCTTATACGATGAAATTGTGTCATGTTAGTGTGGAAACAAGGTTTTCCTCCTTGATGAATAAGGTAAGTATTGTATTAATATAATTAAAAATAAATAAAATTCAATTAACTACTATATCTTGTTTTGCGACTTACGGTTTGTAGATAATTGGTTCGCTACCTAATTATACGTGGCTTAGCTCAAAGTCCCAACAAAAATTATACATAGGTTTTGGGGAGTAATTAAAGATCATAGCCTTAGGAATAAGCACTTCTAGCAGATTCTATCAAACTAGGAATAAGGTAAACTTCCCACAGTGAATGCATGAAAATAGTATACAAAATGACGACACCAAAACCTAATAATAAGGGTGTTGAACATGTAAATATATCCAAAAAGCATATTTGCTAAACCACAACAAAGTTACATGGAATAACCATGCAAAGATATGAACTGTACTTATAGATAATAGGAAACAAACATTTTTAAAATACGGATTCTCACAGAAACATATTGGTGCTCACTAACGTACCTCCGGTTCAACGGGCAAAAAAAAAAAAAAAAACAGAAAAAAAAAACATACATACCCCTCCAGACGAATTCCTAGTTGTCATGCGCACCGAAATTTGTATTTTGAAAACTCAGCACAAAGATGAAAAAGAAAGAAACGACAAAAGAGGAAGGAGTTTTTTTTTTCCGTTTTTGTTTGCTCTATGACATCCCACCTCATCCAAAGATTGGGAAAATGATTCACTTTTATGGAACATACAGAAATGCAAATCATCAATGCTCGCAAACAGTATAGGAAGGTTAAGAGAATGCAGATTAAGTCCTCAATCGACTTCTATATCATTTCAAACCAAACTAGGGCAAGAAGAAAAACCAAATGTCCTTTTGGCCATGGCAAGTCACGGAAGGGAATTAGTGATGGGTGAGCCTTATTGTTATACATGGGTTCATGGCATTGATGAATTCGAAGACAGCATACAAAGCACGCATTTCGTGATGTATATCAAGGCGACAATCAGACGCCAGCAGCCTAGGGTTTCAGAGGAAGTGGAAGAAGAGGACGCAGAAATAGAAGAACACTTTAGTGTGAATGATGCCACAATGGAACTACAATTTGACCCAGACAGTACTGACATGGGTATTCTCATATCCAACACACTTTCGGGCCTTCATATTCCTCTCCAGGCTCATCCACCCATAGTAGCTGAAATATTGTATAAAGCCTACTCCTGGGCAACGGATAATGATAGTTATTTTCCTCCTAGTCGAGAGGTTTTTCATATGGGGGTGTACGTGGAAGTTAGGACATACCTTTCAGATATTGGGGACACTGACATGGACGTGTCAGATATTGGGGACACTGACATGGACGTAGAGGATGGTGGTGATGAGCCTCAATTTGTACCGGCAAGTAAATCGTCCATTGAGGAGTTGGAGAGGACGATAGTCGAAACCTCAACAATGTGTTCTATTTGCAGGGAGGAGATGATGGTTGGTTCAGAAGCAACTCGGATGCCGTGCTCACATCTTTACCATGGAGATTGTATTGTGGAGTGGCTGCAGAGAAGCAGGATTTGCCCGTTGTGTAGGTACTCCATGCCTGCTGATGAATGATGATAGAAATTATTGTCATAATAATGAGTCGAATTTGGTGGGTTTTGTTATTGGTTAATCTGGTTATCTTTCTTCCCAATTTATTATGCATTTTGGTCTTTTTGAACTAATTATGTTTTAATATTTGTCGTACAACAAAATTCTTGACTGCTGTGATGATAGAAAGATTGAGATTTTTATGAATATTGGGTTGAATTTGATGTTCATTATTGGTTAATCTGATTAAATATTTTACTGCGGTCACTTATACATATGAGAAGTGATTTCTGCATACCCGTCTTGTATGCAAAAATCACTTCTCATACTACAATAGTACCAATCTAGCTCTAGCTAATCCACTGAAAGTGACTGGTTCCCTTATATAATAATTGTTTCTTATAATGTTTAGATAGTGTCATTTTTCTCAGTCAAAATGGTTAAAAAAAAGTCGCCACTTGATATTCATTTTCTCTTGTAATTGAGAGATCTTAAATTTAATTCTTGCCAAAGACAATTTTGAACAAAATTATATATAGCTAGTCTATTGTGAGACATATTACACTCCCCCACTCCTTAATGTAAATAATACCGTATGTATTAAAAATATATGATAAAAAAGCCAACCGTAGAAGAAAGCAAACTTATTAGGGTTCCATAGAGAATAATAGCCCCAAGAGGTTGGAATCCACATGAAATTACTCTGGTAAAAACTAAGAATTGAAAATGATACCTATCATTAAAACAAACATTGCAATCTTTAGAGACATGAAAACATAAAAAGAGATGGAGAAAATGAAAGGGGTAAGGATGATACGGGAAAAAAAGCAGACATGAGAAAGAAAAAGAAAAGGACTATAAGACATGAAAATCCATAAATATTTAGTTACCAATAAAAAGCATATATAATCAATTGTCTGTTCCAACCGCAAAAAGATTTAGGCAAGTTACATAAAATGATGTACTTAATACAAATTAAACCAAGTTAAACGTTTAAAGCTATGGCCACAAAGCAACTTAAACTTTAAGCCAATCATCTCCAGAAACTTCAAACTCATCTGACCGTTCCTTCTTGACATCATCAACCTTCTTTTCCAATTCACTGTTGACAGACTCCTTCTGTACATCATCAAGCTTCTTTTCCAATTCACTGTTGGCAGACTGGAGCTTTTTCTGATAACTCTTCCGTTTCTAGTCAATCACAAAAAAAGAATTTATAGGTTATGTAATGCGTAGACGATTCATGGTTCATCAATCCAAATCTTCCCAGTTACAAATAAAATAGGGAAATTAATTAAACAAACCTTTCATTCTTTCGCCAAAGATGCGGCCGATTCATCAGCCTTCTTTTGCTCTAAATAACCGTCCCCATTCTGAAAGAATAAAGCCAATACATGAGCTCCCACGCACTATATGATTCTTTTAGGCCAGAAAGCTCCCATTAAATAATAGTTACATATAAGATTATATAGTAAATAAGCTATAGTTTAAGAACAAGAAAAGCACCGTTTCGTGCAGTTGCATCTCCATCTGTGCAAGAGCTTTCATAAGATCTATCCTTTCAGCTAAAGTCTGTTCAACCAGAAACGTAAGCTCTAGCTTTTCAGCTTTAGTCTGCTCAAGCTCTTTCTGCTGACATTCGTTACACTCAAGCTCTCTCTCAAAATTATTTTAAGCTCTTTGTTTAGGTCAGCTTCCCTCTCTAGCTCAGCCATTTTCTTGGTAAGCTCTTCTCAAGTTGTTTCTTTCTTTCTCCTTCTTTGTAAGCTTTGATACTTTTCTGCTCAAGAGCTTTATTAAGGTTAACCCCTTCAGATTTAATCTGCTCAAGCTCCTTCATAAGATCTTCATTTTGAGCATTAATTACTCTCCTCAACCATTTTCTCAAGCTCTTTCTTCTGACATTCATTTTGCTCTAACCTTTTCTGAAAATCATTCTCAAGCATGATGAATATATGCGATTTCTCTCCTCACGCTATTTCCTCTGAAATTCAACAGTCACACAATTATCCGGGTAAGCATTGTTAATCTAATCGAATATCAAACCTCATGACTCATGATAATGTCCTCCAGTTCTAGTTTATGGCAGAGACAAGTCACTATTTGAAGAGGTTTTAGATTTTCATCGTCCAATAAAATTGTTTGTCATTACGCTATGCATGCATGGTTGATTAAGTTTTAATTAGATTCAATATAACCATGTAAAAAATGGTAGGTCCTTCGGTTATGTCCGTTATTATGATCTATACTTGGATGCATACTTAAAATACACTTTTGACCATAGTCAAAGTCCAAATCCAACACTCAGGTTTATTGGAAAATAAATCATGCCTAAGGATGACAATGCAATCTGTTATTAATTTTAATCCTAAAATAGATTTATGCATTTTATGCAAACATAGATGCATTCATTCTAAAAATTATTGTATATTATGTAAATAATACTTCAGCGAAATCTGACAATTAAACAATCGGGATTAAAAAGTAATACTTATTTTTATGCATTAGTATCCAACAGATAGAGGTGTAAAGACACTTGAGATATATAATTTACGTACAATTAATACACAGAGTCTTGATGGGGAGAATAACTAAGATGTCACACCTACATCATCATTGTGGCATTCCATGCCAATCATACAATGTTATGTGAGGAAACACCAACACATGACATTGTCCCGTTGGCAAGAGACGCCACGATGTTAGTGTACCCGTGCCATGCCATATTAGGCATTCTCCAGCTTGGTGCTTGTTTTATGCCTAACCAAATCATGATGAGACTGAATGCATACAAAGGCAACGAAATCGTACGATTTCTCAACATGGAGAAAGTTTCACATCTGTTGAAGATCATTATTTATAACTCATTGTACTATAAAAAGCTATATCAGGTAAATAGTAAAACTCCATAACATAAATAAGTGGAAGGTGTCTCTCAATCCATCCCTCATAACACTTGGGGAAGAAAGATCAATTATAATATCATGTGTAAATTTATAATTTTACAGAAACACTGAAAAAGTTCGTCCATTAGATAGCTAGGGTTGCTCGCTAGGGTTTCAGGACCTTCGGAGGTCCAGTGGGTTAAAAAAATTGGTCAAAGCAAAGGTCAGGTTAGTTTCTGAAAAATGATGTTAAGACACCATTTCAATTTTAAGCCATTCTTATCCAGATACACTGATTTCAAATACGAGGGAAACACATTCAGATATCAAATATCATAACAACTAAAAAGCATCCAAACTCACTGACTTGATATCATTGAAAATCTCAACTTCGACTTGCTGATTAAGATTTCTCATGTTTCTCAACCCTAACAAGAAAAAAAAAATACCGAATTTATAGTAATCAAAATCAATTAGAAAAGAAAATGTGATGTCTTTGGCTAGTTCTATGCTAACAAAATTACTTAGAAAACAAATTTGTTGTTTCAACGATTTAAACTTACCATACAAGCAATGTTTCCATTGATTAAAAGCAAAAAAAAATCTGATAAATTCATACCCCTCAACATGTATACGTATGATATCTGCATAAAATAAAGATTATGGTATACATCAAAACTTTCGCGTGTAGTATAACTAGAGGAAATTCAGCACTCACAGTAACAAGAAGAGTCAACATTGGGTTTCGTCCTTGTTCAAGGTCGAATCGAGAGAGCTAGGGTTTTGGGTGTGTTTTCTCTTATGCGCGAACCCTATAAAAATACAGGTCTCCATTTTGTTTTCTTCTACATAACTTGGGGAAAGGGTTATATATCCAAGCTAACTACAATTCTAAAATTCTAATTAACTATGGTTAACAAAAATGAAATCCCATAAAATAAAATAAAGCAAAATTAATATCCTCTTCATTTTTTTATCGATCCCTACAATACTTTAAATAAAAGGCCTTGCCAACTGCCAAAAAAATTAATAAAAGTAACAAAAAAATTAATAAAAGTATTATCTTTTCCTTTATTCTTTTTTTTTTTCAATCTCAATCACTGCAGGTACAGCATGTATAGAGTCTATAGACTGCTAGTAAACTATAAACATAAATTTGACATAAATAAAAAATTATTTGGGTTATTTGAAAGGCATAGCCAATTGCCAAAATAATTAATAAAAAGGGTATTTTTTTTATTAAATCAATAAAATGTTACAATATTGGTAATATATCAATAATATTTATACTAATTATAAATAGGTCAGTGAGACTTTAAGGTACACTATTGCACAAATATCAAACAAAATTTACCAATTATACCATTAAAAAACAGTTGGCAGCCCTTTTATTAAATCTTTTATATTTAGGAATAAGTCAATTCGACTTCAGGATTTTGACTCTATATTGCAGTTTCTAATTTATTGTTGTCGAATTAGTCATAAAATATTTGGCTTTTTTTATTGGTTTCAGACTCTTTTATAATACTAAAACCAATATTAGAAGTGATTAATTTGATTATAATAAAATAGAAACTGCAATGCGGTGGTTTCAGACCCCTTCATAATACTAAAACAAATATTAGACATGAATTTGATTATAATAAAACATAAACTACAATGCAGTGTCTAAAATCACGAGACTGAAGAACAAAAATTGCAATCCAGTGTTTGGCTGGAGTTTAATTAAAACATGCCAAAATCAGATCTGTAGAAATATTATTCCTTAAACAATTCCAAATGGCATGCGTAGTGTCATTATGTCGTTAACCAATGGTGAGAGATAAAACGGATTTAGAGATAGCACTAGTAAGATAACTGACCACCAGGTAGTCTTGCTGAATTCAAAGAGGATAAACAGGACTGGGGATAAGGAGTCCAGGGGCAGCATCTGTTGCTTTGTATGTAGGATCGAGGATCGTAGCAGGGTGAATGGGATGAGAGCCATCAACAAATTTCCAGAGGTTATGGCCAACAAGGAACGGCTTCATCTGGCGAAGCCAGACAAGGTAATTAGACTCAGTGAGTTTGAGAAAGTGGGTGGTGTGGGGACCGGGGAGGGAAGAAGGAGAAGAAGAAAAGGAAGACATAATGGTGAAA